ATATACACACACACACACACACACACATAGAGGAAACCCTAAAACATAAATGAGAAGAGTGCAATTTTTCTTGACGATATGCACTTTTAATGTGTGATTTTTTTATTTTATTTTTTTTTTCTAAAAGACATACTGGGAATTTAATCAATTATGAGTAGGACAATTTGACAAAATGACTAACTAATGACGTGCACTAAAACATAAATGAGAAGAGTGCAATTTTTCTTGACGATATGCACTTTTAATGTGTGATTTTTTTATTTTATTTTTTTTTTCTAAAAGACATACTGGGAATTTAATCAATTATGAGTAGGACAATTTGACAAAATGACTAACTAATGACGTGCACATATAAATCTTGAAGGTCTCAAGGTCTTCTTTCTTTCACGTTTCTTCCGCGTTTCCTTGAATGAACATTTCTATAACATCCTTTCTTTTTTTTTTTTTTTTTGGGTCCATTTAATTATAATGTGTTCCCTAAGGAATCTTCATTGAAGACTTTCCAAAAGTTCCTAGAACAATTGAAAAGTAGAAAGTTGAGCATATTGAGCAAGTTCGTAGAAATTTTACTATTTATCTAGTTTTAGAAACTCCACACTATAGTAAAGAAAAAAATAATAATAATAAAACAATAGATATAAGTAAATACCGATATTCCATACACTTCAAGGGTACAAGCAATTCGTCTTGATCTTCGTATGTATATATCAATACATCAATATTATTTGCTAGATGAGTGTACAAAAAGAACTCAAACACTTAACTCGTGTAATAATATGACGAACTTAACCAAAGAATACTTATTCCCTTCATTTTCATACGTAAATTCCTCACGCAATAAACGCAAACTAATCAGGCTTGAATTTCTCTTTTTTTTTTTTATGTAAATCATCTTTCCAAAGTGCCAACAAAAAAGAAAAAAAAAAAAATATCCCACTCATTGACATATTCTCTAAACTATAACAAGGCATATATAATTGCTATTAAAAGAATACAAATATTCTTTCTTTGGTGCCATCTTTCATATTACTTGCAATAAAAGGCTAAATTAGTGAGCCGTCCAATAAGGGTGTCACTATTTTCCTTGTGGCTGGGTCTATGTATCCTTCACATTCTTACCTGTAAGCCTTTATATTAAAATGCCATTGACAGATTATTCCAGAAAGGAAGTCACACGGCAATATATGGGTATGGCAATATTAATAGTAAAAGGTAAGAAATAGGCTGTAGAGATAAGGGCATTTCAGATGTTGGGCATCAAGACCGCGTCCTTATGGAATTAATAAGCTATGTGTCCGGCATGTGTCGTAGGCACGCGGCAAAGCATCTCATTTCATACTTGCACAAGTTATCTTTAAGTTGAATGTCTTAAATGTATATACATACATATATATATATATATATATATACACACGTAGTGTAAAAGAACCGTGTTTGTATTTTCTTTCCTTTCCTTTTTTTTTTTTTTTTTTTTTTTTTTGAGAATGGTGGACCACTTTGACATCGTCTATTGATTACTTGGATAGTTGGATTGAGAAAGAAATAAGAAGCAGTTTGCAAAAGAAAAAAAATTTCATCAATGTGTATTGTTGAAATTAGTAGAATTATGTGGTACCGGAACTGTGTTATTTAGCTTAGACACGCTTATAAAGTATGTGAGTGGTATATGAAAAATCAGAATCCAGCCTCATATATATAATATGTCACGTCTCATGTAAATACACAGTTGCGGATGGGATGAATTTCCCTTGAATTTCGACATGTCATGCGCCTAGACAAAATATGTATATATTTAGTAAATGTGATATTGATTCATGGACTAAATAACGGAAAATAAGTATCCTCGATTAGTGACTTATGAACGAGGAATCGCAACTCTCAGCTCTCTTCTGGTGAGTACTCACAAATCCTAATGCTAAGAAATTTTATCAACTCGACTTAAAAAAAAAAAAAAGCTAGTAAGAGCCACGCCCATGCCATCGCTAATTAAGAGTTGCCAAATGGGTGTGGAATGATGATGGCAACACGTGTGCTAAAAGGCACGAGCCACATGGGGGAAGTGAAGGTTCCGTCCTGTTTTTAGAGCCTAAGGAAGAAGCCATTGTCAAATCCTAACACCGGCTGGCTTTTCCTTGGATGGTTTCCTACTTTTGTAGCTGTTGTTACAACTTACACACCGCCTTTTTACCAGAAAAAGGAAAAAAAAAATTTTGAAGATGCATTCAGAGTAAGAATTTGTATCATAGTTTAGATCATGATTTGTGATTCGTTATAATATTTTTTTTATAAAAAATACACATAAATTGAGAATAATTCTGAATATATGAACTAAACGTTATTTTTATAACACACGATAAAAAAAATGAAGAACTATTTATTGACTGAAACTCTACTTTAAAATATCAATTTTTTATTACATTGCATCAGTTTTGCTCTATAAGGTACACAAAATAACCACCACTGTTAGTCTGTTACCATCCGCACCACCATTAGTGGCTGCATGCTTGCCTACTGTAGCTGCGCTGTTCACGCGGCAAAGTTGCCACTTTTTACCTTGAATATTTCTCTGGTCAAAAATATTGAAAAAACAGGGACCCAAAACAAAAACAAATTAATATTCATGTTAATTATAATCACTATTGTTAAAAAATGAAGCGGGAAATACCGTCCCGTTTTCTCCTTCTCCTTTTCTCACGGAAGTTTCTATGGGAACAAATTAAGCCACTGACCGTACATTGCTTTTGACGCAAAATATTTGTTATAGGTTGGAATTTTGTTTCAAATTTTGGAAAAGTCGTCACTTTCCAGGTTGATGTACGTGTGGGGTGTTAGTTATACAGCTGAACATTATAACAATTGTAACGCTTTCTTTACATCAACAAAAGCACAAAACATACGCAAAATTAATTATAAACGCCATCCACAAAATGAATAAAAAATCCTCTCAAAATAAAATTGATCAATAACGGACTAAAATATACAATTTATTTTACCGATTTAATTTTAAAATTTAAATAATTAAATTTAACTTTTTATTATAAAAAAAAATTACATAAAATTACATCTCATCTCTAATTAAAAATTTAAATTAGATTTAAATTAATAAAATAAATAGATCCATAGTTCTCAAACAATGAACAAATTTTCTCTGTACAAAAACAATCATCATATCATAAAGAAAAGAGTACAAAAAAAATCATAATCATAATCATGTGATAAATTAAAAAACAATAATTCAATCTTGTACTAAAGCAGCCACGTTGTCTTTGTGAATGGACAACCTAGGCTTCTTCGCCGGCAAGGGGCTCTCCACCTCCTGCTCACCGAAGAGTTGACTTTTCTTGTCGCTGACCCGATCAAATCCAGGCCAGAACTCCGGCAGAGCAGGAAGGTTCAGATCGAATCCTCGTTGACTCTGGCTTTGGCTATGGCTAGAAGCGCCACCCTCAGATGACGTCACGCGTTCGGCACCGTTGTTTCCGCCGTCGTAGTGGCAGCGCTTGTGGCCGCCGAGGGCCTGGCCGGTAGGGAAGGTCTTGTGGCAGATGGAGCATTCGTGGGTCCTAACTCCTCCGGCGCTGGCGGAAGAGGCGGCGGAGGTCGAGGGGTGGTTGTCGGTTCCACGGGCGGCGGAGGTGGGGCCCTCGGAGGAGGATTTGCGGTGGCTGGCCTTGTGGCCGCCGAGGGCTTGGTAGGAGGGGAAGGCCTTGTTGCAGACGCTGCACTTGTAGGAGAGCTTCAGGGCCGGCGGGGGAGGCGGAGGCGTGAGGCGGCCGGAGGAGGAAGAGGATGTTGTATTGGTGGTGTCGGTAGTGCCGGTGGTGCCGCGAGCGAGCATGATGAGGCAGAGAGCGAGGTATTCTTCCTCGGAAGGCGGCGGGTCTTGGTCGAGGCGGGGCGGGGGGCGGCGGGAGCGCTTGCGCTTGATCCATGGCTCGTGGAAGCTGTGGAGGCTCTCAGCTTCTTGGTGGTGGTCGAAAGGGAATGGTGTTGTGGTTGTGGGGGAGTTGAGAGCTTCTAAGGCCATTATTTTTGTGTGAAAGAGAAAGTAGAGAGAGAGAGAGAGATATTGTGTTGTAAAATCTTAGTTGGAGAATAGAGAGTATTTGGTGAGTGAGGTTATAGGTGTATGTGTGTGTGTGTGTATATATATGTGAGGAGGCGTGTGTTGAGGGGGGTTGGTTACTTGGTGGGGGAAGTGAAGTCGGTCAACTAAGAGGGAGGGAGGGAGGGAGGGAGGGAAGGAAGGAAGGAGAGGAGTCGGAGTGGGGTGGGGATGGATGGATTGGAGGCGGTGTGACTAGGCTCTTTTCTTTGGGACGACTCTTTCCAAGTCAAATCAGTGCTACTAAAACGTCTGCTATTTGAGTTTTTATTTTAACCCTCACCTACGATGCTAAACACCTTTTTAAAAGACTTTTTCTTTTTTTTTTTTTTTTTTTTTTTTTTTTTTTTTTTTTTTATAGTTTTTTTACAAGTGCTGCTAGACAGTAGACCAAGCGGCAGTATTAGAGGAGATTTGATTCATCAATTTAGAATTATTTTTTATAAAAAAAAATATTATAACGAGTTACGAATTATAATTTAAATTATGAGAGTGTGTACTCCAAGTAGGAAATACTAAATTCTCAGTTAGTATTCCTGTTAGAAAAATATCGAGATTAAAGAGTGTAATTTTTTTGCCCAAAAAAAAAGTGTAATTTAATGAAAATCTGACATTAAATTCTTATAAAAAATTTAGTAATATATCTCTCCTAAGTGCCAGATTTTCTTTCTCAAACATTGAATTTATATAAAATTTAATGAAAATTTGCACTTAAGAGAGGTATAGACCCATTAAGTAACTTTTATGTACGGTAACATGAAAAAAAAAATCCATTTAGTTTTTAAGAGAGTATGAAAAATGGACATAACTGATATTAAGTACCATCACTATTAATAGAAAGTGGACCCTATCTGTATGTCACACGCAACGCCCATCTCTTATTAGTGAGTAGTGCTAAACAATATCAGTACCCTATAACTTTGTTCCCTCTAATTACTAGAAAGTAATAAATTTTGCTACCAATATGGAGAGGAGTTTTTGAATCTTAGATTTTTTGTTATAATTGTTTTAAAGATTGATATTTTCACTAATAACATTTCCTGAGTAAGTTAGATTCTGCATGAGTATGTTTTTAGATTTACAAATTGGTATCAATATGGAGAGTTCATGAATTTGTAGATTTTCATAAATGCAATTTTGAAGTTTGAGATCTTCACTAATTAATAGCAATTCTTAATTCATCTTTGAAGGATGTAGATTTTAACCTAACAAGAAGTACTAATTTACAATATCATTCATGAATCTTAGGGAAGTTTTAAGGTTGAGTACTGGTCACGACTTGCCAACAAATTTTTGATAAGTCTTTGATTATCCTTATACAATGCTCAATTGCTTAGTGTGGATGTAATATTTTTTATTGCTGGCCTCAATATCAACAGATGTGGTTGTTTAAGCAAATATTAAATGCAATAATTTTGTCACTTGTCCATATTTTTCTAATTTTAAAATGTTCTGATCATATGGTGGATGCAACAAGCTCAATTATTTTCTTCTTTAGAGGGAGGGCCAATAAAGAGGAAAATAAATAATACGAAGTAATCTCTTCTTTAGGCTAGTTTACAATATTTGAGTTGCAAATTGCAATTATATGTGATAACTATGGCAGAAACAGCACGAACAAGCTTCACTTGGTGAGGGTGACCCCCTTAACTTTATTGCAAGAACTTTGGATATGAGGATAAGAATGGATCAACACCAATATTTCTTTTCTTCTTGATTTCTTCCATTTTTTTTCAGAATTTATTGCATTTTTTCATTAATTAGCAATCTTCAAAGAATCCAAAGATTGTGTTTGCCATTTCATTTAACATGCCGTAAAATTTTATACCGAATGTGGCATCCTGATATATTTGTATTTAACATATTATGTATATGCAAAACATGTACATTACATATATTACAATTATTTTTTATTACGTAAAAGAAGATGACACCCACACCAAACAAAAAAAAAAAAAAAAAAAAAAAAAAAAAAAAAAAAAAAAAAAAAAATTGCAGCATAGCACGACAACTACACCAAGTTTCTTTCTTCTCTCTTACTTTCTTTCCCATAGCTTACATGTTTTTTTCAGCCTTGTTCGATTTGTTAGTTCAAATCACAACTTAAGTTTGAGACCTCCAACGGTAGGTTAACTCACTGATTGAAACATATTTTAACTGTTAAATCTAGTTAAAATTACATCAGATTAAAAAAATATACAGAACAAACAGTTTCTGATACAAACCTGATAATTAAAAAATAGAAAACTATCAGTAATTTATTTATTTTAGTCCTACTAGAGAAACTGTCCTCAAATTTTTGTTATAATATTTTCTTTCAAACAAAATCAAATTCAATTTTTTTGTTATAATTTTTTTTTCTCATATAAATTCACATTTTAACTTAAATTTTCGACTTAAACCAACAAAATAAATAAGCCTTTTTTTTTCCCCTCCAAGTACTTTTCCATAAACGTCACTTGAACGTACTACGAAAGTCTAGGAGAATTAGCGCATGAAGAAACTCAACTGTTTTCCGTAAATTTCTGAAAATTCACGAATATTCCATTATTATATAGAAAATATCCTTTTATTTTCAAAACTTCAATATAAAAAATATCTTCTCTTGTACATCAATTTACTTATTGGTATGTGGTTTTTTATTCACTAAATTTACATAAAATTATATAAAATATATATAAATTTAACAGTTAAAAAAACTTAACTCGTTAGAGAGATCCACCCCTTCCCCTGTCCTTTTTTTTTTTTGTTGCTTCTGAATTGTATCCTTTTTTTGCCCCTTTTTTTGGTAGTTGGTGGTTGGTTGGCGATCTAGAAAAAACAGCTAAACAGCCTAAACTTACTGAGAAACAAGCATAATTAGCCACGTGTGTAATACTTGTCCCATGATTATCCTGTCTCTTTAGTTATATAGAAATCATAACATTAATAAGCTCCTCTTATAACATGTTTACTTATCCGTAATTGGAGTGGACATCAATCGGAGTGGATAGAATTTAGAGTGGGTAAAAATTAGAGTCAGAAACTAGAGTCAAAATAAGCTGTTTACTTAGGTTCTAAGAATCAGAATCAGAATCAATCTCAATCCTATTTATGCGTTTACTTACACTTAGAATCAGAATAAACTGTTATAAATTTACTTACCTACCCTTTTAGTAAATTTTTGTATGTTGAACTTTAAAAAAAATTATATATTATGCTAACTATCTTAATATTATAATAACTAACTAGTATTTAGATTTTTTTAATCACACCTAATTAATCATCTAAGTTATTTTTCTCAATAAATTTTAACTCAATTTCAAGAAAAGAATATGATGATGAAATAAAATAAGAACAAAATAACTAAGTTTTAAGTCATAAACTTTTAAAAAGAAATTCCAAGTCATAAATCGAAAAATATATTATAAGCATAATTCAAAGTACCAACATAATTTAAGTAAACTAATAATTGACTAATCTAACACTTAAACCCCACGACTAAGAATTTTGAGGATGTATCCCTTTTTGAGTTGATCCGGAATGTTGTAGAATACACGTAACAAATCATGCTTTGTTACTAAAATATTGGTGGCATCATATACTTGATCATCATCTAAGCCATCAATTTTCAGCATTTCTTGATACAAGTTGGCTTGTAATCCAGCTAAATCCTTGTCAGCAGTGGAAAGCACATCAATGAGACCATCTAATTTAGGTACCATTGCTGCCACAGATTTAGCCATCGACCCAATGTTGGAGCACATATTCTCAAATATCTTGTCTTTATTTTTACCTCTGGTCTTCGTCTTGCGAGTGGAAACACTTGGAGAGCTTTCAGATGGTTGGCCCTGTTGAATACTTGGTTGCTGATTGTAGTACATATCATTTATCACTATAACCACTCTATTATTTCGTACTAAAAGTCTAGACATGATTACTCTACATTATCAACATATAAAATTAGATTTAGTATTACATTGTATATTATAAAAATGAACAACAATAGGCATAACACAAGAATCAAATTATAAGAAAAAAAGAAAAAAAAAAACTAGAGTACTAGAATCACGAGAAATAAAGAGAGATAAAAATTATTGATAGTTTCAGTTTTCTAATCTTACAGTAGAAATTCCTAAAATAAAACAGATATAAGAGTTTAAAGAAATAAAGAGGGATAACAAATTAAATTAAAATAAAGAAAAAAAACTTTGACACACGCACCCACACATGGAAAGGAACAGTAAAATTAGCTAAACTAAAGTATTATCAACGTGCTCAACACAGAAAAGAAAAAAAAAAAGCAAAACGAAAAGAAAAATAAAGGATGATTTATGGCGCCTACCTACAAACTAAAGAACCAGCAGAAAAGAGGAAGAGGGGATGGTAAATGGCTGAGAGAGAAAGGGGAAAATAAACCCTAGAGAGTTAAATAAATGAGAAAAATTAAGGGTAAATTCATAATTTTACATTTAATATAAGGATTGGGGAGTGACAATCTGGTGGGAGCGGGGGGAGTGCCAATCTCATTCCTCAACTCTAAATTGGTGTGAGACTCATACATTCTCACTCTTATTTCATGATATAAATAGGTAAGTAAATATAGAGTTGATTCTGAATCCCAATTCTTATTTCTTACTCTGATAAGTAAACATCCCATTAAAGTTTACTGTACAACCAATTACCAAACAACCAACAAAAACGTTGGACATATAAGTTCAACGTTCAAACTTCAAAGTCGTGGCTACCGGATGCTTCAGCACTATTTCCTCCTGGATTGAATGTTCTACGTTCGTCTATTTCATTCATTAATTATGTAATACAAATATCTATAAACTTGTAAACGAAAATTTACAAGAAAAGTCTGCCAATTTTACCCATGTGTATCTCGAGAGAAACACAAAATATAAAATAAAATAAAAATTAATATTACGTACACGCACCCAATGTGCTGACTGTGAATGTAAAATTAATCAAATGCAACCTTATTTTATGTAGAATTGCCACGTATCAAGTAAATTGGCTAATTTTTTTTTTCTTTCTGAGAGTGAGAGGAGTGAATTTTTTAATCAATAAACTTATTTAAGGCTTTACTTAAAGAGGAT